AACTAATTTCTTCTAAACTCCAAATTGGCATATATCGCAATGTCGCGTATGGAAATTTAAGGAACTCCTTATAATATCGTGGGTCTGTGATGAGACAAGAATGGTAATCGCTCCATATCGCAAAGGTTTCTTGGTATCAACTAGATACCAGTTTGTTTCTTCATTCAAAATATGACCCACGTTACCAATGTTCTCCAATTTAACCATGGCATGCTTAAAAACGATACATTTATCACGGTCATGGCTATCCAACACCACAGTTTCTCCAGATTTTGCTAACTCATATAGTAAATAATAAAGAAAATAGCTTTTGCCAATTCCAGGGTTTCCTGTAATTACAATCCGGTAATATTTGTGACTTTCAATCAATGCTTTAATCTCTTTGAAAAGATCTGTGTAAGCTTTCCGAATAAAAATTTTTGAGGGATTATCTCGAACATTAGGAAATACACCAGATTCAAGAGAAAGAATATCATCAACTATGTCAGCACTTGGAAGAGCATTCCAAAATTTTGACAGATTCTGAATTAATGAATCTAATTTTTGATGAATTGCGATTAAAAAAAAAAAATTTGAATCTGATTAATATATTGGGATTCACAAATTTATTGATGAAAACTTACCTGTTTCATCAACGCGTGCCTTTTTCGAGGGAAACTCATTTACATTTGAGATAAACTGGTTTGCCCACTTCTCTTCTCTCAACTTTTCTTCCAACCTTTTCTTCTCACCTTCATATTTTTCCACTTCTCCCTCCAACAATTCGTCCAACCTCTCTTTCATTCTCCCTCGGCCACATTTAATCTTCCGTCTGCATCCTTGAAATGTTTTTCGTCATTTTGTAAGAAAGCAAAAAAGTTTATGTTATTTGAAAAATGAAATATGGCGCAAACATATTGATGGATAAAATAAAAACTCCGTCCGATTAAATTTTATTTATCGATTTCAGGGGTTGTATAATCAATTAGGTTTACACTAGATGCAATGTTGTACAGTTTGAAATTGGTATTACAATTTGATACACATAATATTAGAACGTAATATTAAAATTGTAAAAGAACCTGTTTTTATTTTTTTCGTATTACAAAAAACCTTGGATGATCGGCTTCGGGAAAATTGAAATGTTAAAAACTTTTGCATTATAAAATAATCTCATTTTTATTCTTTTTCAAATATTTCTGGAATTCTAATTTATATCTAGTTTCTTTAGTGAACAAAAGATATTGAAGAAACAATACTTTTCAAGTATATATTGTCTAGAGATTTGATTATATAGTATAAAAACAAATAATTAAGGCAAGGAAATAATGTCCGCAATTTCTTCATCTTCGCATTCTACCCCCTCCTCAAATACTACTACTTCAACACATAATCAAAACGTTAATAATAATAAAATTGAACATAAAGATGGTTTAACAACTTCTACTCGAAATAATTCTGTCGGAACTAGTCCAGCTTCACTCGGTGATAATGCAGAATTTAATACTTCTCCAGTACCCTTAACACCCAAAGAAAAGTCAACTAATCAACAACCATTTGGTAGTATTAACAGTAATTCGAGTCAAAGTGCAGATAACACTTCCAAGTCTAATGTCATTGCGCCCAGTTCTCCTAGTCAGCAACAACAAAACTCAACTGTATCAAATAAAAATAAAAAAACCGAATTTCCACATTTTAAAATTGGAATTAGTGAAGATCGTAACAAGCGATATAGGAGAACTATGGAGGTAAAAATGAAGTTTTACATTAGTTATAGATAATATTATACTCTTTACCACAATCATCAAAGACAGAAATTTTACATCTTTTTTGATCAAAGTTTTTCTAAAGCAGGGATCCTTGTCATTGTCTCAATTAAATATGATCTTATGCCATTTCCCTCGCTAAATTTCTTTTTATAGGATGCTCACTCGTTTTTCTATGATTTTGCCGGGATTGAAGGTCAAGGATTTTTTGCTATATTCGATGGTCATGCAGGAAAACAAGCGGCCGATTGGTGTGGGAATCATTTTCATGAGGTAATGAGCAAATCCTAATAAAGGAAAAAAAAAAAAAAAAGGAAAAATTTAAAGAAATAAGAAAAACTTATTATTATTTTAACCAAGAATTTATGTGAATTTTTGATATCTGGGGCATGATAGTCCCAACGAGAGATAACGTAAGGCGTAAATAACGAAATTGATTTACAAAATAGTTGATCAAAGTATAATATATAATATATATCTTTCTTTGCTTATGTTTAATTGTTTATTGTTGTTTTATCCTTCTTCATAAATTTTTACAGACTTTCCAAGAAGTTCTTCTAAAAAATCCGACTCTTCCAATTTCAGAAATTTTTCACTTGACTTTTCTGCAGGCTGATAAGCAGCTCAATCAGAATGCAGGAAAGCATTCTGGATGTACAGCGATCGCCGCTTTCTTGAGATCCGAAGAAATAACGGAAGATGAAACAGCTAATGGCAAGAAACCCATTAGCAACGGCGTCGAAAATAAACAAAAGGTATATTTATGAAGATAGTTTATTTCTTTTTACCTTTTCTAATTATGAAATTAAATTTATCTAAATATCATTTAGCGCGTATTGTATACTGCAAATGTCGGGGATGCTCGAGCTGTCCTTAGGTAAATTAAGGTATAATATTCATCATAGTATTAAATCATTAAAATTCTCAATGGATTCATTTTTTTCTTAATAGTCGCAACGGAACAGCCGTTAGATTATCTTATGATCATAAAGGAAGTGATGCACAGGAAGCAAAAAGGATCGTTGATGCTGGTGGATTTGTTATGAACAATCGTGTCAATGGTACGTAATGAAATTATTTGGGAACGTTGCCGGTAAATCAATTCATGAGACATAATAAATCATATGATCCGTTATGTGATTTACTGGCAACGCTCCCATTTGATAAATAGTAATAATTTTTTTTTAATTCATAAATTTAAATTATATAATGTTTTATGAAAGGTGTATTGGCAGTGACACGTTCATTGGGAGATAGTACAATGAAAGATTTTGTTGTTGGTAATCCTTATACCACAGAAACCGAGATAACCGAAAATGATTCATTTTTGATATTGGCATGTGATGGGGTAAGTCATTATTTTCATATTGATTTGACAGTTTATATCTTTACATTTTGTTTATTTGTCTTCTTTTATCCATATTAAGTTATGGGATGTCTGTGATGATCAAGATGCGGTAAACCTTATTAAAAACATTGATGATCCACAAATAGCAAGTGCCAAATTGATCGAACATGCTTTAACAAATTTTAGCACTGACAATTTGAGTGTGATGGTAATTAGATTCATGAGGAATTAATATTTTGTTTGAAAAAAAAAAAAATCATTTAATTAAAAATTATATATATATATCATGTTTGATTTTATGTTTTAACTAGTTTGAATATACTAGTTTATATATTATCGTTTATTTTATTTTTATTTTTTATATAATTTTATAATTTCTATATATATTATGTAAAGATAATAATCATAAAAGATATTTTTCTTATTTCCTTTTTTTTTATTTTTTTTTTTAAAAAAAAAAAATAATAAAATTTTTATACATTTTTATATTTTATTATAAATAAAAATAAATATTATTCTAAATTAAATATATATATATACAATGTATATATTTTTAAAATTAATTTTTATCATAACCCCTTTATATTTTAAAATTAAGAAACTATCCAAGATTAAAAAATAAGAAAAAAGAAAAAAAAAAGATTAAAAGGATTATTTAATTGCTAGCATCATTATTTCTTTACTATTATACTTCTTATTATTATTAAGTTGTTGCCCCTGTTAAGATGATTCTGAGGTAATTATTAATTCTGTCATTTGTGGTTCTTTAATTCGTTCTTTTTCATTTGGAACGGAAACATTTTCATTAATTTTAATAGATGGGACAAGTAAATTGGGTGATAATGATACTTCTGTATCTTCTTTTATATTAATATTTTCATTATTATTTGGTCGTAACGCATTTAATCCTTCATCACTATTATTAACAGTTATGACTTCTTTTATATCTACTCTTATATCACCTTCACCAAGTGGATTATTATTATCTATATCACCTGCTATGACCGTACTTCTAACACCCTCATTAAATCCATGTACATGAACCCCATTAATATCTTGTTTATCAACATAAGCACGACTACTGACCGAACTTTATTAATAATTATTGTTAATAATATGTATATATCTTTTTCTTTTAAAAAAAAAAAATACACTAACCTTGATGACATAGGTCTACATAGAACCGAAAGGCAATTCCTAAATACATTCCTATAGTCAAACGGGTTCCTGTTATTTCTCCTTGCGATAGGAACACGTATCTAAAAATAAAAGAAAATAAAATTTGAACAAACGCATATTCTATAAAATTCAAATTGCTAACAATTGAAAAAAATTAATACTTGTTCATGCGTTGTCAAATTATTGCTAATTAAATACATGTGATACCCGGTTAGTCCACCTACAGACCACATAAGGACAAAAGACAATACAATTAACAAGAAAGTATGCAATTAGTTAAGGAGAATATTTAAAAATTGTACTATATAAATGATTCCAAAAAATAATTATTACTATTGTAAAAAAAAAAAAAAAAAAAAAAGGATATCTGACAGGTGCCTTCATAATTACAAACCAAAAATTGGAATACTGTTTCATGAGTAGTAATAAATGTGCTAGGCAAAATCCTAAAACGTAAATGCATAAAATGGTAGATGTTGCTATAAATGTGAAAAATGTCCTATAATTTCGTCGTCCTATACAATTATTTAACCAGATACAATGATGATCCTCATTCTCTATAGGAAAAAAAATTTTTTTTTTCTTAGAAAAAAGGGCAAAAAAAAAAGAATCATATTTTTCTAAAAGATCCTTACCTACGCAATTGTCACATTGTCTACAATGACTACACCTGGGTGGTCTATAAATTTTACATGTTTCACAATATTTTAATCTAACAGTTTGCCCATTAATTTTAACTTCTTTTGGAAGTGGAAAGCTACGAGCTGGTTCGAAATCATCATTGTTTTGGGCATTTTCTGGATCTTCTATATATTCTGTTGGAGGTGATGGATCCAAACCTCTTGGAATGATCTATAATAAAATTATTCCGTAATATCAAATAAATTACTAAGTTATTGTTAATAGCACTGATGATTAATTACGTGAATTTCATAGATTAAATAAGATGAAACCTACTCCTGGATCCGACCATGAAGTTCTAAGCATGCTAGTCACAGCCAATAAAAATAAGTAAACAAATATAAATACCACCGCTGGTGACACATTATCAAAAAGGAATGGACAACTAAGTTATAATTAAGAAAAAAAATGTATATATTATTATTATTATTATTATTATTATTTCTTAAAAAAAAAATGAGATTTAAATATAACTTACGTAAATCCCATGAATAGTCCAGATGGAACTACAAGGGCAGAAAAGGCAACCAAAAAGGCAGGAAAATCTCTGCTAGTCATTATCCTACCACCTAAAAAAAATCGATTTCTTCCAGGCCATACTTGATATAAACGTTGACTTTTATGTTCAGTTGAAGACGAATGTGGTGACATAATTCGAGGATATTTAATATTAAAATCAGGTTGTTTTGTTTGAGAAGGATTGAATTTCTTTGATGATATCACATTAAGTTTAGTGTTTGAGGAAGGTGTATTAGGAGAAATATCAGAATGTTTAGAATAAGCGGTAGCGGCTGCAAAATCTCTTGATGATAGATCTGAACCAGCATTGGAAGTAGCTTGACGCATTAATTGTCTATATGATGAAGGTTCTAAAACTGGTGCCGGAATAATTGGCTCCAGAACTGAATCGATAACAGCTTGAGATAACTCTGTACTTCCACCTTCACCATTTTGTTGACGTTGTTGACGCCTTAAAAGTAAAGCACTTGGAGGTTTAGTAAGTAATGAATTTCGATTAGTTACGGAAGCATCTGGATTAAAAATATTATCAATCGATTGGTCAAGTGAAGGGCTATTAATATTGGAGGAAGATTGTGATGAAAAGTTTGCAAGGGCAAGTGAGGAAGGTTGTTGTAAAAGAGAAACTTCATCTTCGGAGTTGATATTCAAAAATTGGGAATTTATTACGGAAGTAAGTGTGGATCTATTAGTAGTAACGGATTGTGCACCAGGTGAAGGTGGTGTATTTGGTGAATTACCAACAACAGATAGTGCAGATTTTCTTTTTGATATGGCCGTTATTGGTTTTCTTGGTGCAAAAAACTGTTTTGACGGTAAAATTCCAGACGCGTGACGCGATGCCCGCGCCTGATTATTCATATTTTAATAAAAAAAAAAAATAAAGAAATGTAATTTAATTCTAAATAAACCTGAGAAAGTGAACTAAAAAAATTGAAAAAAAAAAATTTCTTTCAGTTTTAAACTACTACACTTTATCATTCATTCATTACAATTAATTACAATTAATTACAATAAATTAAATGAAAATTAAAATTTTTAACAAAAATAAAGAAGGGAAAGAAAAAAATAAATTAGGTTAACTGTTCTTGTAAATATGATATTGAATAAAGGGATGTTTAAACGCCAATACAGTCAATACAGTAATGGATTTAATAATAATATAAAAATATACTGGACACAAAAATTTAAAGTGTTGCTTCACGACATGTTTTCCCATTATTTTAATAATTGCATGTCGAACTAGTCTTAATTGCTTAATTGCAAGCAATATATTGTTTCCTATTTGGTCATTGGCAGGAACTACCCCGTCCCTTGGAACAGCAATAATCTTATCTCCAAGTTTCAAACATTATAATAATATTTAAGTATTTATTTAAGTTTAATCTTCACTTTATGGCATTAGGGTCTACTAATTTTAATATAAAAATAATTTTGATTGATTATATATAATATAAATTATTAAAAAAATTTTTAAATTTATATAATCAAATATTTTTTATATTTTTTTTTTTAATTTATAAATTTTTCTATTATATTTAAAGGTGACCTATCAGATTTACCTGAAAAATTCAGGTTAAATTAACAAAATATTGATCTGATATCAGGTCTTTGACCTGACCTAGTTAACCTATTGATTTGAATATAAAAATAATAATTTATAAAATATTCATTAGTCAAAACCAGTAAGCTAACTTTTGCAAAATTATAATAATATTCCAATTAAAAAAGAGTAATCATCCTAAAGAAATGATATAAATCATCCTAAAGGAACAATACAATCATCCCTAAAGAAATGATATAATCATATCAAAGGAATAACAGAAATCATTTTCAAAAGAAATAATAGAAATTGTCTTCAAAAGAAATAATAAAAATTATTTCCAAAGGAATGATATAATTGTTCTAAAAGGAATGATAAAAATTATTCTCAAAGGAATAATTATTCTTAAGGATAATATTACATAAAGAAGATATAGATGACCCGAATAACTTATATAACTGCAGTAATTAAAATGTCATATATGTCTTCTATGTCATATAGTATTTATATTTCTTATATTTCTTATATCTATTATATTATTTATATCTCTTATATTACATATATTTATTATAGTTATTATATTATTTATATTTCTTATATATCTTCGAATACTTTATGTAATTATTTTTATATAAATATACTTTGAGTCTTAGAATAATGAACGATAGGTTTTATATAAGGTTTTATTGTAAGTTTTAAAGTATTGTCTTTAGTTTAATTTAATATACAATATTTGTACAATACAGAATGTTGACAAAGACAATACTCATTTGTTAGAGATATATTGAATAAACAATTAACCCTTTTAACTCAATCTATATAATCTTATAAACCTTTTATCTTTTACTTGTCTTACCATGCTTTTAACCTTTAAGCAATCCAAAGGACTAACCATAATAATAATCTATAATCTTAAGAAATAATATATAAAAATTATTTTTTTTATCATTTTTTAAAAATGATATATTATTATTCCTTAGAATCATTTTTTTAACAAAACTAACAATCATATCACTATATCAGTTTAATTAGAAAATAAGTAAATTACTCTAATTAATTTTTAATTATAGATTTCTTAATTGAAATTAAGTAATATTCTTTTATATTTTGAAATTTAACTGTTAATAAAAGAATTTTGAATAAAGTTTATTTGATAAGAGTAAAATTTTATTAAAATAATAGGATTTAAATCCTAATCAAAATTATATCAATAGAATTTTTGGTGATAAATCTAAATTATTTAACGCTAAATAGAAAGAGAATAAAGATGAAATTTTAAAATAATCTAAAAAATTAAAGGTAATATTATTAATATATGAAACAAATAAAAGTAAAGAATTAATTAATTTTTCTGATATATAATAGGTAAAGAAAGTATTCATAATTTGTGATATTTGTATTTATTATAAATTACAAATACTTTTTTTACTTACTGTAAATATAATGAAAATTTTTTTGATAAACTAAAAATAAATTAATAGATTTATGATAAAATTAAATAATCAGATAAGAATATCTAAAATATATTGATAAGAATTACTTTTAGAAAAAAATTTTTTGATAGATTAAAAAATTTTTTTATAATACATTTGAAATTTAAATGTAATATAATATTCTATAAATTTATGTTTCTCATAATATTTTAAAGTAATAAGTTGTAAAATTACGTGAGTTTATAAGTAAAGTTGAAAAGTACAGTGTCAGTACAATGATTAGTATAATTAGTACAATTAATACATTATAATAATTAATATAAAAATTAATATAAGTACAGTATAAGTACAGTGTTAATTTTATCTAGTACATACAAATTCTCAATCCTATTTATGAGTTTGTAAGGTTTATAAAACATTATGATAAAATTCTATATAGGATTACAGATTGTATTTTTTATGTAATATTATAGTAAAATCCTACATAAGGTTATGAGCTTATAAAATTATGAAACATTATGGTAAAATTCTATGTAAAGTTATAAAATCATATAACAACATCTTATATAGAATTATAATTTTTCATAATAGATTTAAAATTAGTAATACATATTTACATTATTTAATATGAGCAATAAGTATATAATTTGTATCTTATATGGATTCATATCGATATATAAGAACTTTGCAGTAAAAAGGGAGGAAACACTAAAAAAAATTAAATTTTTATTTTCTAAGCTAATTATGATTATTTTAGTTAAATAAGTTTAGAATTAACATTAATTTAAAAAAATTTTTTTAAAGTTTCCTTTCTTTTTATTGCAAAGCTTCCATATATTTTAGCTTTTAAGAAATGTTAATTTTAGATATTTATTTGCATATGATTTAATGAAATAGCATTAAATTCTATATTAAAAATTATTATTCAAAATCATATACATATGTTAACATTAAATATATTTAATTCAGTATAAGTTTTAATTAAATTCCTATATTAAAAATATATAATTCAGAATAATATACACATATTATAATAAAATAGTGTTAAATATAATTAAATTTCTGTATTAAAAATATATAATTCAAAATAGGGATAACAATCTCCTACTTTAAGTAAAAATCTGCAGATTTAGCAGATTTATAAAAATTAATAAATAATTGCAGATTTTAAAAAACACAGTGTTTTATATATCTACATTAAACTTTTTTTTCAAGATTTATTAATTTTTTAATATTTTATTTGTATTTAAAATGTCAAGAAAAATCCTGGCTATTTAAGAGTAAATAAAAAAAGTTTTTCAATATATATTAATAATTTAGATAACAATCGTCAAAATCTTTCTAAAAAGATTAAACATAATATATTTTAATGTAAATTAATTTTGAAAAATTTTAAATAAAAAAATAAGCAGATTTTAAAAAATAAAGTAAAAAATTATGTTGAAATGATAATTATCAGGATTACTGAAATTATATATAAAATCAAAATGAAAAATAAAAGTCAAAATATTTTAACTTTAAAGATCAAAGTCAAAATAAAAGTTGCAATAGTCAAAATGATATCATATTACATGATTTTTCATATATAAAAAAATCTAAAAAATAAAATAAATGCATGATCTTATTCAATATTATTCTGTTTCTCATGAAATAACTACCATTCAATTCCTTTTGATTAGATGAATCTAATAAGCTATCAATAATTTTAGATCAACTAATCTCAAGATAATAGTAATTATATTTTTAAAATTTATACCCTTTAGTTAAAATAGAATTTATTGAATTATAATTTTAACTAATGATTCAATTACGATTATCTTAATATTAGCTGATCAGAAATCAATGTAATATAACTTATTGCATCCATCTAGTTACAAAGAATCAAATAGTAGTTATTTTATAAAAAAAGAGTAAGTAATATTGATCAAAATCATATATTTTTTTGTTTTTTTAGATTTTTTATATATGAAAATCATATGATATGATGTCATTTCGATTATTTTAACTTTAAACCTTCTCAAAGTCAAAATATTTTAACTATTTCAATTATTTAGAATAGTTGAAATGATTTATTTCAACTTTATATATAACTAAAATATTGCAATTTTAGGATAAATAGCTGACAAATTTATAAAATATATTTATAAAAAATCATTATATGGAATATAGTCAGTAGAAAAGGTGAAAATCTAAATTTTATATTATTAGACCACTTGATTATTCTCAATTATGTATATAAATTTAGCTTAATAATAAAAATTAACAAAAATTTTGATCACCTCCTATATGTATATATTATAATAAAATAGTGTTAAGTTACAGGAAAGACAGTCTCCAATTATACAAAATTTCAAATCTAGTAAAGAAACAATATATTAATCAACCAATAAAAATCATGGATTTTGATAATAAAATCATGTGACTTTTAAAGTCTATCACATTAAAAATTATGAGTTAGATAAACTAATTGTCATAAAATGTATTTATTTCACAGTGTAATAAACTAATTGAAAATGTGATTATAATTATATAATTAAAAATTACTAAAAGGTAAAAAATAACAAAATAAAAGAAATAATTTTTTTTACAAATTAAAAATAATTTTTTTGCACATTCTAATAAATTATCTACTGTTATAATATCTTCCATTATCTTATTTATGTCATTCATATCATCTTCAACTGCATGTTTATTATTCTCTTCAACAGATTCCTGCTTATATAATTTTCATTAACTTGTTATAAAAGCATTAATATTTTTCTTCACTTTGCCTTGAAGATATCCTAAACATATCAAATATTTAAATTGCCATTTTTATAAGCAATAGTTATGATAATTATGCCCATATGTAAGAACAATTCTATCAATTAAATAGTTAGCATATT